GTAGAAAAGTAAACACATTTTATAAGTTCACGTTTCAGGCAAAAGTCAATGAGTAAAAGAAGTATTGACCAAAGATGGGATAGCACTTAATAAAGTTTTGTAGATATTTGAACAGGTATCCAGTTCATAGCAAATGAAAAATCGCAGACCTTGAGACATCTAGTTCAGCCTTTTTTCCAACTGTCCCTACAACATTCCTGGCCAGTATTTGCAACCTCTTCTAAAAGTACTCTGTTGATGGAAATCAAGCTTTTTCATGGACTGTTTCACTATTCTCACTAAAAGAAAGATTTCACCCATTATTTCTCCTCTTCCTGTCACCAAAGGAATTTATTCCCTTCCTCTGTTCAACTACCTTAAAATTACTTGAACACTATTTTCAGTTCTCACCATCAGTCTTCTCTACACTAAGAAAGTTACTTCAGTCTTTATTCATAGATGACGATTTCTAGACACATGTCAATAAGCATAAAGTCACCGCTGAAGGGACAGAGGGATCTTTGGTCTTTTTTAGAAGAGCTTCAAGAGCACTGTGTCTAGGTGCTGGTTTTTGTCTATTTGAGAGCTTCAGAAACTTTGTGAGTCCCGCCCCCCCCCTTTTTTTTTTTGTAACTGTCTCTTTTCTTTCTAAAAGAATCTCAGATTCCCTACAAGATGTCCTAAGTAATATTATTCAGTTCAAATGGTGTCTAGAGAGTGCAAAACAGCATCAACATCAGGTTTATAATAGGGTGAGAACAGGGAGGCTTCCTGATTAGTATAGGAGGTATATAGGAGGTCTGTTCAAGGAGAAATGCGAGTGTATGTTTGACTATTTTGCTAGGCGAAGAAGGGTCAATGGGCAGTATAGTGCACCAAAGTACTGATGCTATGAGATACGGAATAGAAAAAGGAAATTTTACCTCATTATGTAAAGGGAATTTTGTTGGGAGCCCTCATAATACGTGTGTAATTCCATTCTGCAAAAAGCTTCCTGATGACTGGCTTGTGATGATACGATCCATAGTGAATAAGGTATGAAGGTGAAAAGCAAGATTGCTGCACGGTCTAATTATGAATAAGGTCATAAAAATGGATTATAGTCTTCAGAAAAAAGTTACAGCCGAGATGGAAGTTTTAGGTTACCAACCAATTTAAAATACAGGTTCACTTTCCAGCTTTACCATAGGCTGCTGGTCTGATTTTAAGGTGAATACACTATTTCTGTGCCTTAGTTTTCCATTTGTAATGACTCACCATGAGTCAGGAGTGGGTGACTCAGAGGTTATGGACAGTATAGCTCCTGTGGACTGAAATCAGAGCCAGTTTGATAGGTACCTGCATGGTGTTTCCTGGAATATACAGGAGCCCTGAAGACTAGCAGTGCATGTGCAGTACGGTTCATGCAAGTCTGCTATAATTTCCTTTTTGCCTGAGACTGGCTCCAGCATCCATATTGTTGTAATCTTTAAACATCTGAAAAATGAAAATTACAATACTTCTTTCTCTGATTCGTTTAATCTGTGACATTCTTCAGGCAATTAAATGAGCTACAGTTACAGTATTTGTATTTTGCATGGAACATAGTACAGTGGGTCTTCTGGTACAACTGTAGTACAGTATATGGCTGTACTTGTAAAAACATATAATTATCTCAGTTTGCAATAAGCTTTGTGGCATTCTAATGTACAAACTGGGTTCTTTTAAATTACTGTCTATCCCCATTACCTCTTGCCTTTGAGTTTTGACATTCCCTCTGCCAACTCTACAATTCCATAAGAATTTCAAATGTTGTGATTTAACTTAGGTATCTTCATCTAATTAAAACAACCATAATCATCTAGATACTACTCTATTTACTTCCTAAAAGTTCAAAAATGTAATTGAGAGATGAATATTCTGCAAAGACCCCGTTGGTTCTATTTGCCTAATAACTTACCTCTCTCAGTATCTACCATGTGGTTCACAACTTCACAAAAGCCAGAAAAAGAAGGTGGTCTGAATTCCCTTTTTCATACCCTCTCCCCATTAACACATATCAGTGAGAATCTCTTCCTGAATATGGACTCTCCGTCTGAAGCACTGACATGTTAAAGAAAGGTCATATAGTACCTGCTTGTGTCAGACTTACTGAGTGCCTCCAGTTTTAGTCCATTACTCCAAAATCTCTTATCATTAGTTATCATTTGCATTAAATACAAGATGAAATGGAAAGCCATCCAAATATAAAAATAAAACATTGATTTTTGGAAACTAGATGTAAAATTAAATTTTGCAGCATGCGTCACCCAACTAGCTATTTAATTAGGCTAATTCATAACACATCTGTCCTTGCTTGTGGACTTAAATATGAATGGTACTAAACAGATAAGTATTTGGCCAAACATTTATTAAATTTACCTTTTTCAGATCCAAAGCCACAGCACAGCAATCTCCACTGTTAGAGGAAAGTGTGTTTTCTTTCTACACCACTGAGTGGTAGATGGCAGACCCACATGTACAACCACTCCTGCCAAGTTACAAAATGCTACTCTATCCTTATGGTCTTGGTTTCCAGGCTTCCCAGCAGGTCTGTAAGAAAGTGCAACACAGTTAGTTATAGATTGCCATAAACCAAAACTAATTTCTGAATAATTCAACTTTTAATATTAACTTTGCAGCTGAAACCATTTTCCAATATGAGACGGAACAAAAAATACAGGTAGCATTGACCTCTAATTGCATTAAGTTCGGATTTAAGTTATTTCTTACAATGATGCATTCCTGAGCTTCCACTAGCCGTGTGAGTGACCTCTAATCTCTCTAACACAAATAAAAGAAAGCTTCTTACTTTGCATTGTAGAAAAAAACTACATACAGCAGCACTGCCACCTTCTGCTTGCTTGCTTTCATGCATGCAAGTACCAGGTTTATATTGCAAAGCAACAACAGGGAAGGTGCATTTTTCTACTTGTAGGTATCTGAGGCAATAACATTTTCTAATACTCAGGGATAACATATGTCTGGAGTTCCACAGATGTGTGGGGTTTTCACACGTGAACTTTTTCTGGGCATAGAAAAGGACTTCAGACATTTGTCCAGGACTTCCAATATATCACATCCCAGCCAGAGCAATAGCTCAAAAATCCCAGGCAAATGTGTACATTTGTGTACTTGTGCTGTCCACAAGGAATATACCTGTTGAATACGCTCCGTGGAGTTGATCTCTACACAAGTGTACACATTTGAACAGATCTAACATATTCCTTGTGGTCTGCACAATTACAGCAAGTCCAAAGCACGAGTGATCCACGTGCATAGGACTAATTCAATGCAATCGGGGTATATTTGATCATATGCAAGCATTTGTGTGGTCCATATGCAGTAGGTCCAACAGGTCCCAGATGTATCACATATGCTCTTGATCTGAAGTTTCCTGGATGTGCTGTACATCAGCACATAAGCAAGATAGAAAGCTGGAAGCCCTACTTCAGATATTTTCTTTAAAAAGGTGAAGTTATGGTAAATTATATTTTTCTGAACTGAAGTTGCCAGCAAAAGCACATTGAGCCTGTATGGCTCCAGGGACACACACACCCCCCACCCCCCCCGGTCAAGGAAGCAGCTCTGTACAAGTTTGCCATACGGTACTAGGCGATGCATTGTTAGATGGAGCTTTCAGCATAAACATTAGTTATGAGTTTGGTTGTATCAGAAAAACTGAAAAGGGAGAGAATTTCACTGTATGACTTTATCTTGTTGGGACATGTCCTTGGGATTTTTCACCCTGTGGAGGCACAGAGTGACACTGGCAATTATGAGCCTCCCTCTTCCATGCAGTAATGTATGAAATGACTTCTGGCAAGTAAACAAGTCTTAATTGTTTTTTCATCTTAGAATATTGTAGTTAGATATTCCAGTCTCTGCTTTACTCAAGACTGTGACAGACTGAGTTGCACTGATAACTAATCTTTCACCTTTTCCTGATAATAAGCGTGGTAATACTGATGCATGCAGTGGGGTGTCTATCTTTATGAAAGCATGAGACCATAAACGAGGTGAGCAGGCATATTCCCCGAATACACAGTTAGAATCACAGTAATATAATGGTGTCGGTTTATTGCTCATCATTAGCTGGGTGAGGACGGTTTATGCTTCTGAGAATATTCATATGCATTACAATCCCTGGTGCAGGGTCCCTTGCAGTCAGTCATGTGTGCTCACTGAACTCTCTCTGCTGTGCTGATGTATTATGGACCCCACAGACCAAACCTAGTCCTGCTTAGTGATTCCATTCTGGTACTAACATCACCAATAACTTGATCAAGCATTGCTGCAGACTCAGCTTGTTGCCACTACTGTTGCCAGTTCAACCCAGCCATGTCCATCCCACAAACTGCTCCATGCTGGGCTCAGAAATGCCAGAGGACAAGACGTTTTTGCTTCTGGCTTGGGATAAAGCTTTTAAGACTCTAGGACGGAGGTTTCTACTAGATTGTTCTTGAACCTGGAAAGCTTCCCAAACCAGAATCTACTGTGAGTCATACAGGATGATCCAATTGCTCTTGCTTACTTGAACTCCTTTCTTGGACACAGTCACAGTCAATACACAGAGGACAGACAATTCCATCCAAACAACAAAATACGGAATGATGGGTAAGGCACATAATAGCGAATGTAAATGATGATTACCTAAGATAGATTTTCCCTTCCCACAGAAGCACAAAGTTTCATTATTCTCATTCTTCTCTCTCTCGGGCCCATATTTATTGTTAAGAACAAATAAAGAACTAATGAAGTCATTAGCAGGTACTGAAGAAACAGTCTCTGTTGCTTACTAGCCCAAACCTCTGGGGGATAAAAAGGTAAAAGAAATTACTATAAATCCATTTTGTCAGTGAGATCTCAGTTCACGCTCAGTTAATTGGCCTGTTTTGCAGGATTTAACCTGGTGGCATAAGAACCTTGAAATAAATCTCTTAGCTACGATTAGAGATGAGAGAGAGATTAGCACGGGCAGGAGAGTTGAAGTCTTTTTCTCCATCTCCATTGGTGAGTCAGTGTAAAGACAGAAGAACTACACAGACATCCAGAAATCAGTACTTCACTCTTCCTCAGGATGCCTGATCCAGGTATTTTCTCCCCTGTACTCAGCAAGCTACCAGTTTTGAGATCTTGTTCAGTCCTCTGAAGCAGGTTAGTGGTTTCTTTTACAATAGAGTCACAGATAGGAATGTGACTAGTGTGTTTAGCTAAAATGGCAGATTTTAGTAAAATTGGTGAGATAAGATGCGGTTTGTTTATGACAAAATTGCAAGCCAAATTTCTTTGGACAATGTGCATCTAATATGTAAATTTTATAAACAAATAAATAACTGTGCTATGTCTTGTTCTATGTACTTAGGGGAATTTGATAACAAAGGAACAGGTAAGTGGCATCTTGAAAGCAAAAAGCTAGAGTATGCTGAAGGAAGCTGTGTTTGAAGTGAGTTAGACAAAGAAAGCTTGAGAACAGTATTGATAATATGGAAGAGGTTTCCACGTTTATGGGGCTTCTCTGTTGAAAGAAATCTTTCCCCCTTAACAGAATAAAATCCAGCTTCCTCTCCCATAGCTGGGGAAAAAATGTCTGTGTGTATATGCTTCATAACTCTGGAGTGGCTCGTGTGCAATGGTGAGGTGTGTTTCTAAGAACTTTGATAGAGGTGTTAGTTCCACTGACCTACTAGGAGCATTTGTGGTTTTACAGTAACCCACTGGCAAATATAACTTGGACAAGAAAAGATACATATTGCAGAGCAAGACAATGACACTTTTAGCTCATAACTGCACTTCAGTTCTTTCAGCTGGAAGAAATTTCTTCATGGTGCTCAAAAAACATTACTACGGGGCAGTATGCATGTTGCAATACATCTTACGCTAATGAATATATTAAATACTTCT